CTTTTTGTGTGTGAGAAAGGAAATGAAATTTGGGGAAAGAAAGGATAATACACTGATTAAATGTGCATACTGGTAAATTTTCAAAGAAAGTACAAAAATATGCTTTCTTTGTCTCTAAACGAGATATTCATTCATTATAGCTTGCAACAGCTCAGAAGACATAGAGCTCACTAGATGGGCATTTGTTCCCCTTTTTGCTGCTTTGCAGGGGCAGATGGGTTGGCTCTCTTTTTTTGACAATTGAACAATGCATGGATCAATTTGGCCCTGTTTACACCCAGGGTACCCCAACCTGTACCTTTGGAATCCCCGTCAGGGCTTCTAGATTTTTGGCATGGGTTGGTGTGCTCTTACTTACTCCATTTCCACCACATGTAACTGGACATATCACTGGAAATGGACTAAAATGGAACTTTGCAACTGTAAAAGCTGCCAAGGCTCCTTCCCGTTTGAATTTCTAGTATCATGAATTGCCTTAATAAACAAGGTACTTAAGGATATTAATAAGATGAACACTGTCTCTGCTGTCTCTGGAGGGGCAAGAAAAGTGATATTATTCAAAAACTACCAGGCATAGTCAATTAAAATTATATATTAAAAAATAACTGGTGGTATTATATAAAGATACAAGTCTTAACCAAAAACCTATGTATCTGTTAAATATCAGTTCAGTATGTATGCTGTTCCTATTATTGTCGGGTTTTTGTAGCTCTGAGGGTGTGATTTTTGAGATTTGCAACTGTTTATAGTACTGTGTGAAGTTTCTTGATATTGTTCCCAAAGCCCCAATGACTACGGAGACCACTGAAGTGTATTTCTTCCAGAGGCAAGATGTTTCGATTGCCAGGTCTCTGTACTTTGTCAGTTTTCCCAATTCGTTATTTTCAACTCTGGCATCCCATGGAATTGCAATGATCTGGACATTTCTTCATTCTACCATTTCCCCCAAAATAAGACCTAACCTGAAAATAAGCTCTAGTATGATTTTTCAGGATGCTTGTAATATAAGCCCTACCCCAAAAATAAGCCCCAGTTAAATGAAACCCTGCCCTCCACCATTGTGCAGCATTGTGCAGCAACCTGAAGATGACATGACTGTAAAATAAAACATCCCCTGAAAATAAGCCCTAATGTGTTTTTTGGAGCAAAAATTAATATAAAACCATGTCTTATTTTCAGGGGAACACGGTATTATTACTATGTCTGGTGTGTTATGTTCAAGGTGTCTGTCTGTTTGGATCTGGAAAGCCCACAAGATCTTGACTTCCTCATTTTCTGATACCTTCTCTACCTGATGTTTCACAGGTTTTTGGAGGCCAGCAAGTTATATTTTTTGCATAATGACCAGTGCACTAACTTTGCCACTCGATCATGTATAACTTTGTAATCTGTGCAATCTTTGGACATTCACAGATGAGGTGTGACACAGTTTTATCTTTTCCTTGGCAGTGCTGATATTTGCTGTTAGCACTAACTCCTTGGATCTTAGCTTTCACCACATTGGTTTGGAGTGCTTGTTCTTGTGCAGCAAAAGTCAAGCCTTCGGTTTTTTTTTCTTAAGGGTCCCCAGTTTTAGCCATGCCCATGTTGAATTATGATCATGCTTTCCATCAATATTTATCAGGTGTTGTCCATGTAGTGTTTTATTTTTCCAACTGTTTAATTTCTTTTCAAATGGTTGTTTCTTATATTGAGCCTTTGTTTCTGTTGTTTTCAAAATATTATCAATTTTTACTGCTTTCAGTAATTTTTCTCTGCTGTATTTGCAGTAATCCATGGCCTCCAATTTTTCATAGTAAATATAATCTGTCCAAATGTAATCTGTAAATACAATCTGATGCATATTCATTAGTGTCCATGTTTTTTGTTCTAATTCTTCTAATTTGTTTTGAGTCCAATATATTATTCCAGCTGGGTATCTAATTACTGGAACTGATCATGTGTTTATGGCTTCGATTATATTTCCCCTATTTTGATTTTAAAATTTTCCGCTAGTCTTTTCATATATTCTGTTTCTGTCAGTTCTTTAACATTGTGTGCACAATGTTGTCTGCTTCTAGTTTTCCAATGTATTTATAAATTTCATCACTTGATAGTGATTTCATAATATTCCCATTTTAACTCTATTCCATCTAGTTTTCGGATCTTGACATGGTGTATAGACAGAGCTGCACATTTGTCAATTCCAAGTTTCATTTGGATATATTCACTAAATATTTGCACTGTGTTTAGCAGTGATTCTATCTCTTTGGAACTTTTTGCATATAGTTTTAGGACATCCATGTATAAGAGATGATTGATTTTTCCAGCTTATTGTGAAATATGGTAGCACAATCCAGTGTTGTTTATAATTATTGACATGGGGATTAGTGAGATGTTAAACTGCAGTTGTGACAAAGAATCCCCCTGAAATATTCCTCTTTTGATGCTAACTCCCCCAATTTCTGCACCATTGGTCATTAACATGGTTTTCTGTTTTTCTGTGTTTTTCCTGAGGAACTTCTAAATGTTTTTACTAATCCCAAACATTTTTAGGCAGATGTTAATTCAGTTGTGTGGCAATGACATTAGCAATTTAAAAGACTTGAAAGATTCAAAACTTTAAAAGGAAAAAGGAAAAGCCAGACTATGCATCTAGCTAACTATCTGTCCCAGTGTCCTCTGCTAGTTGAAATTACTTGCTATATGATTTTTGGTCCATGTCCAGTCATTGTCATAGTCACATTTCAAGGAGAGAACAAAAAGAGAGGCAGTTCTGTAGATCCATAGAAATAATCCCGTTTCAGTGTTCTCCAAGATCATTTGCAAAGCTACGGACTCTTGGTTGAACATTTAATACTGAACTATCCCAAATTATTTTGCGTCTTGGGCTGTTCCTGGAAAAATCCATCCATGTCACACTCTGCCCCTTGGCACAACCACCCAGATACTGTGAAAACAGCACTATCTCTGCAAACTACAAAATTGCCAGTACTTCATGCTATAGAGCCCTGGCTTCGTTGCATTATTGTAGATTAGCCTTTGTTAAACAATTGATTAAAGTGGAAACCAATAGTATGAGAATTCAGAATGGATTTTTGTTTACCAGACTATCAGAATGAAGAGCTCTGAGGTACTGAAGATAAGTTTTATGTGAACATACACATACTAGAGTACAGCTTGTGGAGGTCTGACTGCTTTGCTGGTTGGGGAAAAGTTTCTCTCCTAAAATTGAAACAAATAACTGAGCCATCACTTTTTAATGTAGCAGTTTAATAATGCTAAAGCTCATAACTGGATTTGTAGGAAATACATGGAGATCATATTTAAATTGGCTTAGATGCTCTTTGTGTAATGTAATAATACGGAAATCATATTCATTTTACAATGAGCGTTCCCTCCCCAAAATTTCTCTGGCTCTTCCTCATGCTGAAATTACACCATTGCTAAGTTGTCATCGGTGGAACCAGTTGTATTGGCTCTTGCCTTTCCATTGGACCATTTCAGCAATGTGGAGAGGGGGGAACTGCTGCTTGGGTAACAGCCTGTCCTCCATATTACTTTACCCAGGCTTCATGTTCTGGAGAGGACACTCCTCGATACAGAGCGCGTTACCATGGTCTCTCGAGACTGAAGGATGCCTATGCATGGAACGTTCAGGCTCTGAAAATAAAGAACGAGCTCACCCCACACTGCAATCCTATTTCTGTCTTCTTAGAACCAGCCCTCACTGAGTTCCTGCCAGGTAAATTGATAAGGTAGAAGACTTCATGTTTAATCCTGTACTTGCTTCAGCCCCAATAAGATCTTTTTCAAAAAAGACTCATCAAATGTGTGAGTGTGGAACAGGGCTGTATTAGCCGCTCATCTCTTTGTTGTCAGTGCTTCCCTATGACTCTGTCCATACATTCAGGCAAACATACATTCAGGTCAACCATCTGTCAGATCTGCTTTGATAACGTTCAGGCTCTGAAAATAAAGACCGAGCTCACCCCACACGGCAATCCTATTTCTATCTTCTTAGAACCAGCCCCCACTGAGTTCCTGTTAAGGTATATAATTTTTATATAATTCAGGTCAACCATCTGTCAGATCTGCTTTGATTTGGATTCCTACATTGAGTAAAGAGTAGTTGGAGTCGGTGGTGTGACAATCACCTTCCAACTCAATGATTGTATGAGTCTATGGAAAGGTTCTTTTCAGGCATTGATTTGAATGCATTTACCTCAGGGGAAGATGGCATAAAGGGAATTATCAAGTATTTGGGACATTGATGGCTGATTAGCCCTTTATCCTTACTTTAGTCCTTACTTATCCCTTCCTGTCAAAGGAACTGGCAACAGTGTGTGTTATCCTCACTGGTTTTTATGTTCTGAATTGGAGGGACAGCTGCAGGTCATCCCCCCCCAAGTTTCTTTCAACGGCTGGAGCCAAAGGCTACAAGCTCCACACTAACTCCAGTTTCCAGGTGCTACTCCTCCCCTTCCTTGGCCACCCAAGCACTTTCACTTCCTCCCAGGCACTTGGGGGCTTCTAAAAAAATTAAAAGCAGGTGAGTCAAATTTTGGACTGGCAAATGAAGCAATACAAAGCAAGCCAAGAGGTTTAGGCTAGTCAAAACACTGTGGGAACTCATGGAGACTCCCTTCCTTTCATTCTTCTGCATAGATAATGGGAAAATCATCTGGATATTGGAGAGGAGCTTCCATGAAGACCAGAGCCTAATGCTGAACTTCACGAAGTACAGATTCCCCATCTGGAAGATCCCTTAGTTTCAAAAATTAGAATACTTAGCTGATGTTACTGTTTCCCTATTTTTATGCAAAGCTTTTTATATCTTTGAAACATCCATGAAAACTTAGCTCAAGACAGAGAGGAGGGCTTTTGCTGTCAAAACTTCCATACATCTTACATATCTTTGTGGAGAAGACAATGAAGAAGAGAACCTTAGCTCTGATCCCGTGGTTGTTATCGAAGTTACGTCTACCTCATTTCCTGTTTGCAACTACAAAAGATTTAAACTTGCAGTTTAGGTGCCCAGATGAATTCTAAAATTGGGCTACAAGAAACCAGCCTTTGGGGCCTCTGAGGTTCTCAACTCTGAAAAACAGTTTGTTTCCTGTTTCAGAAGAGGTCTCATTTTCTGCAGGAAATTGCAGAAAGTTCTGCAGGAAATTAAAAGGTACGTACCATTCCTTTGTACTGGCAGTTTTGAGTGTGGTTATGTTGACAAAGTTGCCTTCCAGAGGGTTACAGATCTCACAGCAGGTTACCTCACATTGCTACATTTATTTTGTTATGATCATTTTCGTAGACTATGGCTAATTTCTAGTTCGGTGGACAGAAGCTTCCATTAATATTATTCGATAGAACTAATGTGCATGCTATATATAGTTACCTTATGCAAGGAATTTCTGTGTTTCTCTGTACCTTTTGCTCTCTAAAAGTATGTGATCTGAATGTTAAAAACCTAATTAACAGCATTTTGATTAATTGCCATTTAGGGATCCATTTCAAGAGATTCAGCCCTATCTCAGTAGGCCATGAAGGTCACCATTTTATGTTGATTTCAGATTATTAAGTCATTTAATAAATTTGCTTTTGGTAAGGGTCAGTGTTACAAAATCTTACTTACATCACAAGTACAGAGCAATGAGTAGCCTGCATAATTAAACTGTTAACTCCCCAGAGAGCGTTCTAAGCACTGTGGGTAGTATACGAGCAGCACACTTTGCTTTTTTATGTTGATTTCAGATTATTAAGTCATTTAATAAATTTGCTTTTGGTAAGGGTCAGTGTTACAAAATCTTACTTACATCACAAGTACAGAGCAATGAGTAGCCTGCATAATTAAACTGTTAACTCCCCAGAGAACGTTCCAAGCACTGTGGGTGGTATACGAGCAGCACACTTTGCTTTTATTAGGGAAGAATATTTTCTTTGTATGAATCAGCATTCAGAAGCATTAAGCAGCTTCTCCTTTGTCCAGTCTGACATGGAATGAGGAGAAGATAAACTGTACCCTCTACTGGTGATCTTGTCATTCAAAGGACACTTTTCTTTAGAGGTTTAGAAGACATCCTAGTATGAAAAAGATCCTTAAACGTTTCCTGCACTATAACCTTCTGCATGTGTATTCAGACACAAGAGTGCTACTGATAAGGGTGTACAAGGCTGGAGCCTGTATCCTAATTTGTTTTCACACACTAGTTGTTTCTCACATAATATACAGCATTGAACAGTATACGTACTGTACCTCATATTGTTCACTCCAAATTGCACGGGTGTCCTCAGGATGAAGGGCAATGGGAAATCCTTACGCCTATAGAATCCTGAACTTTCTTATTATTTTAATGCATGGAGTGCATTGTGGTATATACTACGCAGGCAAATATTGCTAACATACTACTGTTCACCTTTGTCTTCCACTGCATAAAAAGGCAGGTTTCTGTTCATCGTGCAGCATACCTGTCCAGCCAAATGCTAAAGCTCAGTAAAAGTCTGGTCCCTGCACTCTGTGCACTGCAATCAAGGACACTTAATATTATATTTTCCCAGATTGCACATAGGAAGGTGCCCAGAACATTACTTCAGATATTTGTTAAATGCTAAGATAGTTAAATAAGAGTCCTGTCCAGATTGCTACAAGGACGATCACCCATTTAATACAGCAGGCCTAAGATGCTCCTGGTGAAATTATATTTTGGCTGTCTGCCACAGGGATAGATATATATTTTCAGAAGCAGTCCTTGGGTATCAAGTTATTTTGGATATGGCAGCTGAATTTAAGGCGAATTGAGGAGCACATGTTTCAGATCACTGGAAAAATAATGAGGTTTGTTTGTCATGTGTTGTCATACAGCATTTGATTTATGGCAACCTTGACAAGAGAAGAGCCAGCATGTGTAGCCTTGGGCAAGCTGTTCAGCATCTGAAAGAACGGAACAGAAAAACACTTCTGAGTATTGTACACCTAGAAAACCCTGGAAAGGGCTACCATAGGTCAGAACTGATTTGATAGTTCCTAACATGTTCTAATGGTTTATACTTTAGTATTTGAAACATTTATACTTTCAGAGTGGTTTTACCAGTGCCATCCCCCAGTCAGTTTCCATGACTGGGTAGAGATTTGAACCTTAAGTCTTCTTAAGTCCTAATGCATCATTCTCTCTTCTACAGCACTCTAGCAGCTCCCAAAAATGATGGCAATTACCAACTTGTCCAGGGTTGAAATCAGTCACCAGAACTGTCCCAAATATTAGATTCTCTCATAAGCCTATGGTAAGGCATGCAAACAGCTAGGTGATATTAGAGCTGATGGGAAAGAAATAACTGCATGAATCTGATTATAGCTACATGATTCGTATGAAGCACAGACACCAAACAAAATGAAAGCCGCTGAGAATTAGTAATAGATTGAATGGTTATGAAGATTAGATACTTAAGTTGTGTCTCATGAATAAGAAGCCTCCTAAAGAAGATGCTTTCAAGTAGCTGCTGATGTTAGTGAAAACAAAAAGACAGACAAAAAGTCATCAGTGAACTCCTATATTCTGTTTTTGCAGAGTCTGTAATACGGTAATTCGTTTCAAGTACAGACCTGTGTTTGTTGATCTCAGCCACCGAAAACTGATGTGCAGCATCAACAAGTCCATTGACATTTCTTGTTTTTCTTTTGTTGCCTTAAATCATGGCGGTCATGGAATCCCTGGACAGTATCTCACAATTGATTGTGTAAAAATAGTATACTAGAAGATTCTCATGTAGAAGACGTGCAGCTGACTATAGTTTACTAATAAGCAGGGATGTTGGCAAGTTTTTTGTCCACATCCAAGTCCAAGTCTTTGGTGCCAAGTCCTGAGTCCCAAGTCCCAAGTCTGAGTTCCTATTAAAAACAAGCTTTTTTCCCCCAGAAAAAAAATGCAGGGGTGGATGGGTTCTAAGTCCTAAGTGAAGTCTGAATCCTTGGGGGGAAAAAAGTCTGCGTCAAGTAACCAGTGTGACTTAAGTCTGACTTGACAGGGAGTACAAGTGAAGTCTGAATCCTTGAAAAAAAAAAGTCCGAGTCAAGTAACCGGTGTGACTTAAGTCTGACTGACAGGGAGTCCTGTAACTCACATCCCAGTCCCTGCTGATAAGTGACATAATGCAGTTCTTGGCCTTCAGTTGACATCTAGAGGGTACAGTAAGACAACCATCTCTATCCAAGCCCAAATGGGTGGAATCGAACATCTTGATAATTTGAAATTCTGCAGTTTCACATTGGTTTATTCTCAAAGTACATAGTTCTTTTCTTTCTGTTCAGCTTTTTTTTGGGTAACGAAATTAATGTGACACGGACAAATAGGTATGAGCAAAATGAAAATAAAAGTAAAAAAACCCCACACACCTTGTGGCACCTTAAAGGCTAACTTATATATATATATTAATGTGAGCTTTCTTAGACAAATCTTTTAATTCAGAGGCTGGAAGGAACAAGTGATTAATGTTGGATAGATACACAATCACCACGGCCCAGGAAAGTCCCTTCCAGTCCATCAAAACACAGATAGCATACAGGGTTGTTAAATTCCAACAACCAGTAGGGTGTTTTTTCCTTGCTGACGACTTTGCTAAATGAGACATTGATTCTGCATCTGGAAGCAGTGGGACGTGGTGGCATCTAGAAGCAGGCACCCACAAAAGGAAAAGACAGTAACCAGTATCTTGGTCAATATTTAAAAGTGTGGTGATCTGACAAGGTGATGGGTTGGCACTTTATCAGATCATCATGACATATTTTGCAGTTGGAGCTCCATGTATGGAAATGCTAATTAGGATACTGGACTATTCTAAGGTGAGCTTGCCTCAATCCACATATGGCAAATTAACCTGTGTTAACTTTGTAACTGGTCCATTGAAAGCTAGCCAAGCTTTGTTGGCATGATTGATGTCTTAGGTATCTTAATGTTTGATCTGACTCTGGGTAGCTGTGCCTTGGACTGTAGTGCAAAGGTGCAATCTTATACTCACTTAGATCCCTTTGAACATTTTATTTTCTTCTGAGTAGACATGCACAGCAGTGTGCTGTAAGTCTTCTGTTTGCTCCTATATTTCCTCTGAAGACTGTCATTAAATGCACATGTGTAGCTTCTGAATCTAACTGCATTTTCCCTCCTTTAATCACACTCATTTCCTACTTTCTGATTTGTTTAATATCCAACCTGATGAAGAGTTTTGGAGAATCTTTAAACAATTTAATGCTCAATTAAGTTCACAGGTTCATTTTCCATTGTATACATAATTCTTGGAACCTAAACATATTTAAATACTGGTATCTGTCAGATTGCAAGTTTAAGAATTAATGAATGAAAATGCTCATTTTATATATGTATAAATGTTTTTATTGCAGAAATGGGGGATGAATGTATCCATTGTTGGATACCTCTTGCTTTGATAACAACAGTTATGATTATTTCCTTACTGAAAAATATTTCGTACTACTTAAAAGAAAAGAAACAAAAAGGTAAGAAACACTGCAATTTTGCTCTTCCAGAAAAGTTATTCTTAGTATCTCACTAAATGTTCTTCCATAGCATCATAAGTCAATTCATGTCATACCCTTACTAAAAATATCAACATTACACAATGTTAAATTACAACTAATTCTCCAGCAAGGCTTAAGTATTATTGAATTAGGATGTGGCTACATGAGGGGGTGTGTGTCAGGTTGTGTCCCTGCCAGATTTTATACAATCAGTTATTGTGTTGCAGGAATCCATGGGGCAGAGGCAGAACGTTGTGAAAAGAGCTATCTTTGCTGAGATTGGCAATTTCCAATGGAACCCCCCTTCATAT